TATCGAGCAATCTTCGTGCAGTGAAATCCGTATCTGAGATATCTAGTGTTAAGACTTGGGGTTCTGTCCTAAAATATCAACCTGATAGGAGGAGTAGTACAAAGCCTTATATTAGGGCTGGGACTTTGGAACCAAGAACCGGAGAACCGAACCGGACCGAACCGTTATGACCCGGTTCGGTTCGGTTCCAACATTTATTAGTTATTTGTTAACGGTTCGGTTCCTATTTTTTATAAACGGTTCGGTTCTCGGTTCCTGAAAAAAATATGTACTAGGAACCGTTAAGGAACCGTTATATATAATAATTAAAATTATATATATTTCTTACGAGTATATATATTTTATGTATATTTACTTATTTATTTTTAAATTCCATTCATTATTTTAGTTTAGTTATTCAACTATTTAAAACTATTATTCACTTCAACCGGTTCTCTTAGGCTTCTTAGGCCTCTCATTAGGTCCAAACTCGAGCGGGTCGGAACTCGGAAGGTCCAAACTATTTAAAACTATTATTCTCTTTAACTGGTTCAACATATTTGTTTTGTAATTTCAAACGTTAAATGTCTTTTCGACAAAAATTTAGTCGTGATTTGTAAGATTTTTTTCAAAGACTAGGAACCGTTAAATGACAAGAACCGAACCGTTAAGAACGGTTCGGTTCCTTATCGGTTCTATAAAATAATTTATAAGAACCGAACCGTTAGTAAAATTTCATATTTTCAAACGGTTCCACATATTTTGCCTAGGAACCGAACCGGTCCCAGGCCTACCTTATATAGTGTTTAATTGTTTTATAGCTTTCCGGTGTGGGACAAATGCTTTAACACGCTCCTTCAGCCCGAACCGGGATGAACAATATCGGGGTGTATAAACGGGCCAAACAAACCCTTAACAAACTACTCTTAATCATGGGTGCTAAACAAGTCGTCAAACCACAACCAGAATTGGCCTCTGAACCCACCGCCAGTCCTACCTTGTGCCGCTGTTCTCCAATCCTACCCTAGACCATCAATATAGTTCAAAAATGACATTGAATTGATTCTCTTATTCATATTGTTTAATTATTTAGCAAACAAAATACACAACTTCATATAGAGATGTCAATTATTCAAACAAACATATTAATAAAGATAAACATTTTAGAGCTGGCCTGTTTGGTTATATTGAAATTGGCTGAATTGGCCGAATCTGCTGAAATTTATGAAGTTCTGATTGAAGTAACTGAATTGTATGATTCTACTGTTGTTTATTAAAATTTTCTATTTAAAATTATTTGATTAGTAAATAAAGAAAAAGTTATATGAAAATAGTTAAAATGATTTTCTACAATAATTTAGTCAATTCAACTTGAAAAGTAACTTCAACTCTCCTTATTTTGACTGATATACAAATTTTGGTGCGAGATTAAAAAAAACTAGGTGTTACATGAAAATTTTAACCAAAAATTCTATAAGTACCCCAAATTGTACCCCAAATTGTACCCACCCCCTGAATTGCCTGTGTACACAGACAATTCGTTTGAAAGAAGGCAGGACTATTTGTCCAAATGCCTGTGTACACAGACGGTGTACACTTTGGGGTTGGTACCCCAAGCACCTCTCAATTTTAACCGATCAGATTGAGAAGATTAAGAAAAAGTGATTCAATTTCCGCTAATTTCCTTTTACACCCCTACTTAATTATTGTGGCACGCCCTAGCTAGGTGCCTTTTGGGTTTCGTTCAGTTTCCGCAACCCCAACCTATCTCTCTCTTTATCTCAACTTTTTGGATGTTTACAGACTTTTGCAGTCTTCTTATTACACAATCAGTCACCTGCTGCTGATTCCATTAGGGTTTTCTCCTCTCACCCAAATAATCTCACACACATTTATTACCTCTTTTTATTCATTTCACAAATTTCTGGTCCTTAGTCATCAGTTGGTGGGGGGCAAAATATCCAGCTAAAGAAATTGATATTTTACTGGCCAGCAGCACACAAAAGGTACTACTTTAGCTTATGGTACTCTCTCATAGCTTCTTTAAATTAATTGATTAATTTTTCTTAATTCATATAGCTAGAAACTCTCAAACTCCCATAACTTTATACTTGAGTATAAGCCTATCTTATGGTAAAAACTTGATTTAGAAAGTAATTAGATGTTGTGTAATCGATCGTCCAAATCGATCGTCCAAATGATTTGAATGGTTTAGATCTACTATTAGCTTGTGCTAATAATGGTTCTCATGGTAGTTGGGTTGGAGCCCCCAAGTGTATTCCTCATGTATTGAGTAACGATGTTTATTAATGAAATTATTGTTTTGTCAAGTAAAAATTTTGAATTTATTTCGATATTAGATCAAAGCGGATCAGACTTAAACAAATCAAATTTAATTAGACTTGAAAGAATCAATAAGTAAAAATATTGTAAATCTAATCGGATGGGATCATTATTTTGGTGTAATTGGAATTCGGTAACACAATATTTAATTTCAGGTGCAGGAAATATGTACAAGTATGTATATTTGTATATATAACAACACAACAACAACATTCAAATTTGAGTCCCAAATGTGTTAAAAAAAAATTGAGAACATTAAAAAATGCTCTGTAAAAACAATTAGTATAATAATTTATGGCGACAAGTGTATCTTTAAGTGGAATCGGGCAATTATAAAATAAACAATTGCCAACAAGTGACTAAAAATAGTAACTGCATTGAACATAACGATATGATCATACTTCAAAGTAATAACACTCCGTATATTTTGTTTGAATTAAATTTTATTTAAATAACATTTTTAAATAAACCTCTTATAAAAATTGAAAGTCTTATTATTTCAATTTGGTAGAGTTTCTTTTTTTCATTTTTTTACAAGAAGACTTCTCAATTACCTGAATCACAATCTGTGTGTGTGATGGTTGTGGTTCAAACAATCGGAGTATTCTCTTAGAAATGCGAAATACTACGTATAATATTTACTTTTAGTGCTCTAAATTCAACTTCTTGTTCAAATTGTGTGTTTTTTATGATGGCAAGGAATTGAAGGTGCACTTTATTAGGAAATAGCGACTTTTTGACTTTTTGTCAGTATTTTTGCATTGGCAATACAGCGTAGAGCAATACGATCAGAAATCTAATTGAAAAGATTGATGTATTCTCATTGAAAAATTATTATTGTCGCTGTGATCTTTTGAAAATACAAACAAATATATACGGACTATATAATATTCATGTTTAAAAAAGTTTGAATGAAAACAAGAGTATGGTACTTCTTATGGTAAATGTGAATCTGATTGTTACGCCCTAAAAATTGGAGGGATTAGTGTTCAATGTTCAATGATAAAAATACCAACTGCATTTTATTATTACAATATGCATTTTAATCATTCAAATTATATTAAAATCCATTATACTTACAATAGTGGCAAAAAATTGTTCATTCTCATCCTTTCACTTTTTCAAATTAGTGGCCAATTTTAAGGAGTTCTGATGAAACCCATCTGAAAATAAGAACGATAAGAATACGACATAAAGAGGAAAATGAAAAGGGATCTAGTACCTCTATTAAATGTTAAAGGTTGGTAATATAATGAAATAAAGTAAAATGACTAAACAAACTGTTTGAACTTCTTTGTTATGAAGTACAGAAATAGTAATTAACCCGTTCATGCAATTTTTGATGTCATATGTAAACAATATTTATGTGCCTAGAGGCACTAGGCTAACGTTGATGTACGGAGAAGTATTTATTTAAGAGCTGTAGCTTATAAATTTGCATCGTGGTTTGATTCTGATAAGACTTCACACATGCAGTTTTGTTGTTGGGTACGATCAAGACTAGCTTAGAACGACACAGAGCAATGCGAATAATGATAACACACGCACTAATGTTCTTTTATGTTACCGGCCTTCAAAACCTAGCTAGCTAATAAGCTCTCAAAATAAAAACCGTTCTACTTGTCGTTAGCTGATCGTATCAATATTGAAATTCATGTATTGATTCCATATGTGAACTTAATTTTGTTCCAATGATATATGAGACAACAAAATCTACTCAAATGACCAACCCAATCTCGTTGTATTTCATGAGTTAGGGAAATCAGCTACTCTTTTGCTATTGCGTTATCATTTGGGAAATTACCCTAGGCAAAAAAAAACATTCCTACATTCTAAAATATGACTTTCATGTTTTTATTTTCAAAATAAAAGTAATTATTGTCATGTTTTGGCAATATGAGACTTTAAGCATGACTGTATCATCCAAGTTTGCAGTAATTACTCATATTTCGGAAATAAAAACATGGCAGTCATATTTTAGAACTTTCAAAAAAAATCATTCCTATTTCAAGAATGATTTCAGTATACCATTGCTCATTGCGATCAAACTAGCAATGCGGTCGATTTAATTAGGATTGAAAAGTAGCTCACAAATATCGGTTTGCTCTAAGAACGTCCTCAATGTCACAATATGCACGATGCACATGTGGCATGAGAGAGAGATACACAAGTATTAAAGAGTAGGAAGTAAAATATCTATAATTATGGACTAAAAACCTTCACAATGTTTTTATGCATAACTAACAAATTTAAACATCTTTCTATATTTGTAAATTGAAAAGAGAAAAAGTAGCGTCAAAACAGATATCATACATTCAAATCACTGTTTTTATAAAAGACTGTTTATAATTAAATGTCAGGAATCACCACTACGTTTAGGCATAACTCTAGTACTCCTATCATACTCCCTCCGTCTCGAAAAGGTTTACCAAATTTCCTTTTTTGGATGTCCAAAAAAGATTTGTCACTTCCATTTAAAATAAGAAATATGTGACTAAAATTAATTCACGTGAAAGTCAAAATTGGCTAACCTTTCCTATAACTCTATGTAGTACTAATAATTTTAGACAAATGTATTTACAATGCGGAGTATGAAAGTGATATAAATATGTTGTTAACTAGATTTGCACATAGCTTTTCACTTACCAAACGATTTTAGCAAAGCTAGAAAATTTGCAGGTAGATGGGCATTACATTCCATTCAGAGTACTTATTATATCATTTGTTTATTTGCAGTATCGAAAATTTTGTGATAGTAAGTAAGTTGATTATTGTTAATGATATATGCATGCAGATTCGCAAGTCACGTACATCCACAAATTATAACCTAAGCTACTACACAACAGCTTGATCCATTCGGGTCGGATCGGGTCGGGTCGGGTCAGATTGCTTTTCCAAACTAGTTTTCAAGAGGTTAAAGATCAAGGATGTCTTCCAGCAACTCAAACCCACCATGTGCGGCATGCAAGTTCCTGAGAAGGAAATGCCTGCCGGGGTGCGTCTTCTCGCCGTACTTCCCGCCGGAGGAGCCGCAGAAGTTCGTCAACGTCCACAAGATCTTCGGCGCCAGCAACGTGAGCAAGCTGCTGAGCGAGATCCAGCCTCACCAGAGAGAAGACGCCGTCAACTCCCTCGCCTACGAAGCCGAGGCGCGGCTGAAAGACCCCGTCTACGGCTGCGTAGGCGCCATCTCCGTCCTCCAGACTCAAGTCCTCCGCCTCCAGAAGGAGCTCGAGGCCACCAACGCCGACCTCATGCGCTTCGCCAGTGCCAACAACAACAATAACAACAACAACGCTGCTGAAATTATGTCGACATCCTCGTCCAGTGGGTATTCACCTGTCGGGAAACCTGCAGCCGCCGCGGGTCATAGTCTCAACGGGCATCGTTCGCTGTCGTTCAACCTGCAGCGTATGACGATGGCCGGCGGGGGCCATCCCCACAACATGGCGATGATGATGCAGCTGCAGCAGCAGAATGGGAGGTCGAGGATGACAGAAGGTGGTGATTGTGGCGGAGGAGGGTTGCAGTTGCACAACTATGCGCCATCTCAGGGAATGACGACGACGGATTACTATTATTCTTCTGCGTGGTCTAACAGCTCTTCCGGCGGAGAGCATAACTCCGACGGTGCCGATAATGGCGATTGCTCCATGTAGCTAGCTAGCTTTAATTTGCGGGTTATTACTTATACTCCAGGCCATACGTATTATACGAATGAAGAAATTGCTCCGATCCATATATGGAAACTACTATATATACTTTTGTGCTTGTTTTAATTTGGGCAGACAGATCGAATTGTGTACAAAACGAGAGGCACCCGGCCGTGACCCTGCCATCAATCTATCTACTACCTTTGTTTCTTTTTTACTCCGTATTTATCAATATATTTTGACTGCTTTTTATCAAATTTAACTGAAATTCTGAATTTTTATTTTTTTACTAATAAGAAATGAAAAGATTTTAATGATCAGATTTGTACGGGGAAATGAATATTTGCAATCCCAAGAGGACAGATCGACGAAATATTACATGAAATAATGTGAGACTGACCTGAAGAAAATCATAATGAATCCACATTTGTTGAAGGAAAAGATTTCTCAAGTGGCTGAATATATTTTGTGAACGTAACACGTCAATCTTCTAACTACGTACAGAACACGTTGATTTAATTTAACGAAGAGAATGATTCTGTTATGATGTTATTACTTACCCATAAAAAATGAAAATATTAGACTGCCTTAGTATTATGCATTTGATCGATTCACGTCAATATTTTGTACCTTATGGGTACCATAAAATCTACCTATATATAAATGTTACTTTGCCCCTAATTAAAACAGAGAAAGAGCATTGTTCCGAGGTCAACTCTCTAATGTTGGTGTGAATTGAAGCGATCAACTCTTTCCTCATTTACCTAGCAAACGACCAAAATTTAAAAAATCAGAATGACATGATTAATACAAAATAATTAATTAATTATACTATTTTGAGTACACTTTGGGAAATAATTTTAATGGTTATATAATATAGTCATTCATAATAAGTGATGGAAGTAAATCCACCGGAAAATAATTAATAAGAGATAGCCGAAAATAATTAAAGTGCTCAGGATAATCTTTAGAGAGATAAATGTATGTAGTGTATTCAGTGTATTGAGCTTGATTAACTTTTCAAAGATTACATGATTTTATAGTAGAAAATAAGACATAAAAGATTCGGGCGACGTGGTCGCCATGTTCGAATTGATATGCAAATCAATAACCCGGATCCGCAGAATCCTTTGTTGATTGTGAATATCTTGAAAAGACGTCGCTGATGTAGTTTGTCGTACGGAGTCGCCATGTAGCTTCTGCCATGATGTCCAGAGACACCATGTACATATTGTTTAGATAAGCTTCTACTACTATGTCCAGGGTCACTGTGGACATTTCTTTATATAAGCTCGCCATGACACCCAAGGCTATAGTGCACTCTGGTCTTCTACTTGCGTCCATGGTTGTTGTGGACGTGCTCTTTGAATTGGATAAGCTTACCATGACATCCACGGTTACTCCGTACTCCCCATTCTTCTACTAACCCTCGTCCACAGTCGCTATATACCGTCTTTTATCTCCCAAACCGCGCGTGGTCACCATGTACGAGTTCTTCTTATACCTTATCATCATCCGTGCATAGTTACCATGCACATCAACCTCTAACTGTTTTCATCTATGTTAACCCGGTCAACATTTATCTATGGTTGGGATAATTATACCATCACAAGGCCCCCACTCCCTAAGCCAAATAGCATATTGGCGATAGGGAGTATAGACATAGTTGCCGTGTCAATGTTGAGTGTACATGGTCACCCTGTCAATTTTTGTTTTTTGTCTTTACCCATTCAATCATTTTAACTAATTCAATTTTCCTTTTCTTTTACTGAAGTGTGCAGCTCATGACTCCAAATTTACTTCCTTCCTGGCAGCTTCGTTGGTGAGGGTCAAGGACTGCCATACTGCCCAGGTCGCAGCTCGTCGGCAGCCACCAGCCGGTCAACGTCTCCAGCCGCCACCAGCGTCCAATTACGCAACCAGCCTACCCACGTTCGAAGTTCTTGCCTGCCGTCGTACTCCATCCGCCCCAGACGGTCGCTGCGTGTAAACAGAGCACCCCAACCACACCGGCGGTGTCCCTATAGCCTGGCATTAGCGCACTCCGGTGACCTCAGGGACTGTTCGCCGTCGTCGTCTGTCATCCTGCATTCCTGCCATCGCCGTCTTCCACCTGCGTCGTCGTTGTCCCGCTGAAGGTCTGAATCAGATTCCGCCGCCGTTGCTGTTAGAATACACAGGTATGCTCCCGTTTTCTGTCTTCTTTCCTTTTATTTGTAATTTTGACTTCCCTCTTAAGTCTCCTCCGTAATTTTGGCTTTGAACATAACTCCTTTTGCTATGTCCTTGATGTTATCAATCAATTGCAGTGACATACGAAGTATCTTTCAATTTTTATTTTTTTTTATTTTTTTTTTATAGCTAATGACTCATATAGTAGTAATATTTTTTTTTTTAATAATTAGCGGCTGATTTTTCTCTTGTCCTTTTTTTTTGCATAATATGTTAGCTGTTAATACCTTATGGATGTACTGGACTCCATAGACTCTGATGAATTGTTTAGTGGTGACGGGGAATTAGTGTTGGAGAATTTTCCTCATCCCTGGGCAGATGTTAATTCTGATGTTGAAGAAATTAGTCCCATAAAGCCACGAGCCGCTTCAGTCAAACCACCAAAACGTCGCTACCGTGGTCCGTATCCACCCTTAGACCCGAGCCCCATCTTACACTACAGGTCGCGCCTCTCAGTTTCCAAGTTTCAAAAGTATAAGAAATTTTTTCCGTCCACAGTGACTGTCCGATGTCCAGATTCGGAGGATATTGTAACCGATCCTCCTAAGGGTCACTTTTTCGGGGTGCATATTCTTTCCATAAAATTAGGATTCCGCTTTCCCACACACCCTTTGATTATCGAGTTTTTAAATGATCTTGAAATTTCACCTTGTCACTTGACTCCGCTCGGTCATCAGTATCTGGTAGCTTTCCTGGTCCGGTGTGAGACACTTGGGATTGAACCGTCCCTAGACCTCTTCAAGCACATGTTCCGAGACAATTTGTCTATGTGTCGTCTGGATCTCCGTTACCTTTTTCATCGTCTTTGAATTGTCGATTTAAGAAGTATTCGTACCCGAAACTTCCGGTTGACCAGGAAACATGGCCGGCTATGATTCTTTCTGGAGGACCGTATAGCCTCTCTGCCTTTACTTCCGAGGACCGCCTAACCACGGTTGGACTCTATTCGCCGTCACCATGTTCGGGTGCACACGCATCCACGTCCACGGATCAAGGTTGTCCACAGTTACTTTGTCTATAGGAGATAATACACGCATATATATATTAACTAACACATATGCATACCCCCTTTTTTTTGCAGATATGACATCGCGGTTGGAGATGTTCCAAAGCTTCGACCAGGATGGGCCTCGCGGTAGTGACCAGGGGCGCTCTGACAAGAAACCAAGGGTTCCCTCCGTCACAAAAGGCAAGGATGCCATTGTAACTGTGCCTTCATCCATTGCAAAACGCAGGGCCGCTAGCCCCGCAGCCCGCGTCACCCGTAGCATGAGTGATATTCCCACGGCGGGGATGACTACTTGGTTACGAGGTAACCTTGAGTTACCTCCGCTCTTATCACAGGTGATCACGGCGACTGAGAAGGAGAAAATTTCAACACTTGACCATGCTGCTTTAGAGAAGAGGAGCCACCATGGCCTGGCCGAGGTAACCCTCCCATTTCCCCGTTACCTTTTATTTGTGCATCTCGTGATACTAATTTTTTTTTGTAGCTACTGTTGTCCATCTCCGAGGTGAACCGAAGGAAAGATGAGCGCGAGAAAGATTTGTCGCTACAACTCACCGAATTAGCGAAGGAGGTGGCATCGCTCAAGCTCGTGCGTGACTCACATGCAGCCGAGGTCACTGCGCTTAAAGAAATGCACGCCGTGGAGTTGGCCAATGCAAGGGGGCGGGCCGTGGATGCATACAAGAATTCTCCAGAGTTCGTGTCTGATCAGGAAGCATACATTAATGCCCACTTGAACGATATTAGCAAGCATTGGTTGTCTACTCCGGAAGGTCGTGAGAAATTGGCCTTAGAGAGCTACGTCTCCTACCAGATCGGGATATATGCCACTCAACAGAAAATATATCCTATCTTGAGGGATAAGGCTGGTACCTCTTGCATCACTGATTGGGGACTTCCTCCTGAGGTTCCCAACCCTGAGAACCCGGTAGCCAACACGCCCCTGGACTATATTCCTTTTGACAGACTCCCCACTGATGAGGAGCTTGGCGATCTTCCTTCCGAGACAGATCACCCAGCTTCGACTGCTTCTGTGCCTTAGAGCATGCATGGGAGTGACGGATGGACGTAGTGTAGACTTTAATTCTGTCATGTCTTCAATTACGAGTACCCGAATTGCTCAACATGTTTTGAATTTCATAAAATAATAATGATGCATGTCTTATTTTCCTTTCGTTATTGTTTAATATTATCGCATAATCCATTATTTGACTAATATTTTGATTTTATGAGATCACACTGCGACCATGCCTCGTTTGGCACAGTTTGCATGATCACTTATAGTAGTATACGGTGATACTACACCAAGTGTAAAACTTTGGTGCATTTATCACCCCATATCTGCCTAATTTTGAATTGAGGCATTTTGTATTTATATAGAGTGACTAAGGACAACGATAGGCACAAGGTGTCGTTGACACCTCCTCCTTCGCTACATTGCGCGCATCACTTAGCCCCAAAAAGTAGGACTAAGTGAGCGAACCTGACACTTGAGTGACCTAGGCTTGCTCTGGGGCACACAACGTTTTTTGGGAAACATGGCCGCTATCCGATAAATTTCACAGATGCATCCTGACCATACAACCCTGAGGGTTACGCATTTGTTGGGATCGATTTGCGATGTATCCTCGTCCCCTTTCTAGGGGCGAGTCTATACCCCTTGCGTGTTGAGAATTTCAGCTATGTCATAGGAGACATGCCTGGCTACTTACTAGTTTTTTATTTCATTTTTTTTTGGGTGAGTTTTACACCCACGGTGTCCTTGGATGACACCTTGTAATTTGTTTTTATTTTGGGTGAGTTTGACACCCACGGTGTCCTTGGACGACACCATGTTTTTTTTTTTTTTGCGGCCAGGGACTGCCATTATTCACTCCTGTGTGGATCAAGGAGATCTCTTATTTGAAAACAGTGGATGGAAAAGGACCGCGTTTACCACCATACGTGGTTACCATACATCATAATCATCAGGTGGAGTATCAATGATAAATTTTCAATGGTAAAACTTGAGCAAGTGTTCTGCGTTCCAAGTCCTCTCAATTTCTTTTCCCTTCGGCGTCTGGAGTTTGAACGTCCCTGGACGGATCACTGATTTAATCACGTAAGGGCCTTCATAATTTTTGGCAAATTTCCCCCCTTCCAAGGGTTTGCTGACCTCCCTTTTTCTCAAGACATAGTCCCCAACTTCAAAGTTGCGTTTGCGAACTCGAGAATCATGGTATCCTTTCACCTGCCTTCTATAGTTCTCTGCACGGCAGAAAGCCGCTTCTCTTCTTTCTTCAATAAAAAGAAGCTCGGTCGCCATGACCTCCTCGTTCGTCTCGGGGTCATATTCCTCTTCTCGGCGGCTATGGAGAATTACTTCCGCAGGTGCCCTCGCCTCGAAACCATATGTCAAGGCAAATGGTGTCTCCCCTGTGGCCTTTCTTGGTGTGGTCCTGTATGCCCAGAGTATCTGTGGTAGTTCTTCAGCCCACTCCCCTCCGGCAGCTTCCAGCTTTTTCTTCAAACCGTCCATGATCGTGCGGTTTGCATTCTCCACTTGGCCATTCGCTTGGGGATAGGCAACTGACGCATTGCTGTGTTTGATCCCCCAACTCTCACAGAATTCGTTAAACCCAGATGCTCCGAATTGCCTCCCATTATCGGTTATGATCTGTTGGGGTACTCCAAAGCGACAAAGGATGTGCTTCATGACAAATTTTCTGCATTGCCCTTCAGTGATGCTTGCTAGGGGTACTGCTTCTATCCATTTAGTAAAATAGTCAATGGCAACGATAACCCATCTCACGCTCCCTGTTCCCCTTGGTAAGGCACCAATGAGATCTATTCCCCACCTTGCGAAAGGTATAGCCGTGCTGATGGGGGTGTAGTTGGTGGCTGGACGTCCCGGAGATTTCTGGAACTCTTGACACACCACACACCTCTTGACAAATTCAGCGCAATCCTTAACTATGGTTGGCCAGAAGAAACCTTGTAGGATTACCTTTCGGGACATGGTGTGTGCTCCTTGGTGAGCTGAGCATATCCCTGCATGTATCTCTTCCATGGCGACCTTGGCCTCATCTGGTCGTAAGCACTTGAGAAGCGTGCCATTGTAAGACCTCTTGTACAGTTTCTCATTCAAAATGGTATAACTCGGCGCCCTCATCTTAGTCACCTTGGCCTCAACCTCCTCCGCGGGCAGCACTCCCTCGTTGATATACTTGATGAGGCAGTCAATCCAGTCTGCGTCCCTCGTGGTTATGGCCTGGACAGGGCACGCATATATGCTGGAAGTGTCCAACTCTTCTATCCTTGCAATCTTTGAAATCCTTTCCGGTGTCTCTGCACTTAATTTGGATAACATGTCTGCTTCGACATTTTGCGCTCTTGGTATCTGTTCAATTTCATAGGCGATGAACAATTTCAGAAGTTCCAGGGCAGAGTCACGATATAGCCGCATCCGTTCTTCCTTCGCCTCAAACTCCGCCGTGATCTGTCCAACCACTAGTTTTGAATCACACCGTATCTTGACCTTCTCCGCCCTCATGTTTGCCGCCAAGCGTAGACCACATAGTAGAGCCTCGTACTCTGCTTCATTATTCGACACCTTGAAGTTGAACCGGATAGCGTAATAGGCCCTGAAGCCTTCGGGCGTGGTGAGGACCACCCCTCCCCCGCAAGATTTGGCCGCGGAGGAGCCATCCGTGGACAATATCCACCACTCTTGTTCATCGTCGCCATGCTTCATCTTCGTTGCTTCCTCCCGCGCTGTGCATTCTACTATGAAATCTGCAAGAGCTTGCCCCTTGATGGAAGGTCTTGGCTTCACCTCTATATGAAATTGACTTAGATACACTGCCCATTTGATCATCCTCGAGGAAGCCGTGGGACTTCTCATTAAGGCACCCAGGGGTTGGTGTGACAGTACATGGACAGGGTGAGCTTGGAAGTATTGTGTGAGCCGTTTGACCGTCCACACCACGGATAGAACAGTTTTTTCTATGGTTGTGTACCGTAGCTCAGCGTCCCTCAAAGTTTTCCTTACGTAGTAAACGGGTCTCTGGACGCCGCCATCTTCACGCACCAGGACAGAACTAATTGCACTTGGTGAAACCCCTAGGTATAGGTATAATGTCTCCCCCGCCTCAGGTTTGGATAAGACAGGAGGAGACAAGAGGTAGTTTTTCAATCCCTCGAATGACTTTTGGCACTCCTCAGTCCATACGAAACCCTTTGATTTCTTCATGATGTGGAAGAATGGCGTGGCTTTTTCTGCTAGTTTTGATAAGAAGCGGTTCAAAGCCGCTAAGCGTCCCGTCAATCGTTGCACTTCTTTGACATTACGAGGAGGTTCCATTTCGAGTATGGCCTTGATTTTCTCTGGATTTGGCTCGATTCCTCTTCTACTCACCAAGTAACCCAGGAACTTCCCTCCTTGGACGGCGAACGTGCACTTCTTTGGATTGAGACGAAGATTGAACTTCTCCATGATTTTGAACACCTCTGCCAAATCCACGGCATGCGTACCTGCTCTTTTACTCTTCACAATCATATCATCCACGTAGGCCTCCATGGTGCGGCCTAGGACAGGTCGAAAAAGTTTAGAGATCATGCGAGTGTACGTTGCCCCAGAGTTTTTCAGTCCAAACGCCATGACTAAGTAACAGAAAACACCCTCTGGAGTCATGAATGAGGTCTTCTCTGCATCCTCCTCATGCATGCGAATTTGGTGGTATCCACTGAAAGCATCCATGAAACTCATCAATTCACACCCCGCTGTCTCGTCCACCAATTGGTCGATGTTAGGCAATGGGAATGGATCCATCGGGCATGCCTTGTTTAGGTCAGTGTAATCAACACACATCCTCCACGTTGGGGGTTTAGGTGCCAATACCACATTTGCCAACCATTCTGGGTATTTTACCTCCTTGATGTGGCCGATTTTTAACAAGGTGCCCACTTCTTTCCTTACGAATTCCCGCTTGTCCGAGGACATGTAACGTTTCTTTTGTTTCACCGGTTTTGACATAGTGTCCACGTCTAGGCGATGAGAGATGACATCTCTACTGATGCCCGGCATGTCCTCCGGTCCTCTTGCAAATATGCCTTGGTACATAGTCAGGACGGTTATGACCTCAGCGCGGAGCTCAGCTGACAATCCGGTGCCTATCTTAACCTTGCGCTCTGGGGTTGCAAGGTCAAGGGTGACCTCTTCTGTCCCTTCTGCTGGTTCAGCACGGGGTCTTCGCTCTTCATCTTGTAGGTATTGTGTGGCCACAGTGTTTACCTGGAGGCCATGCCGCCCCACCTTCTTTGTGATTTTTATGTAGCATGTTCGGGCGAGCTTCTGGCTCCCGCGTGCTATCCCCACTCCGGTTGGTGTTGGGAACTTAATACAAAGATGTGCCGGGGACACAATGCACTGCAAATCTTCCAGGCCTGGCCGTCCGAGTATAAGATTATGTGCACATGTCAGTCGGACAACTACGAACTCCATGTTGAGTTTCACTTTATGGGATGTGTCCCCCACCTCTACCGGGACCGTGACAACTCCCTCTGCCTCGATAGAGTCACTCGTGAACCCAGATAACGGGGTTTTTATCGGATGGAGTTTTCCTTTGGACAACTTCAGTTTCTCGAAAGTGTCGAGGTACATTATGTTAACGGAACTTCCAGTGTCGACCAGGGTACGGTGTATGACAAGATCATTGATCTCCATTTTGATAACCATGGCATCCCGATGTGGGCTTGGACATGGTGGTAGGTCATCATCAGTAAAGCATATAGGTTCACGTCGTACCTTCTTTTTCATTGGGGAGTGCATGATCTCACCAATGTACAGTTGACGAGCCCATTTCTTTCGAAGGGACGAAGAGTCCCCGCCTGCATTACCTCCATAAATGAAATTGATGTCATGGTTCCTCTTGTCTCGCTTCGGCCCTGGCTCATCCGAGGTATCCTCATCACTCTCATTTCCAATGTGTCTTTTCTCTGCCCTTCGGGTCTCCGGCTGCGTGCATGCCACTTGTTCTGATGATTCCCGCCATACATGGTTGGGCTGCTGTGCAGCCCCTTTGATGAAGTTACTCAGATGGCCTCTTTGGATCAGTCTTTCAATCTCGCGTTTCAAGGTAAAGCACTCCTCCGTGTCGTGATTATCCACTCGGTGATAGCGACAATACTTTTTAGCACCAGAGACA